AATACGTAATTTAAAAAAAAATTAATTTCTGTTAAACCATTACCATGTAAAAGGAAATATTACCAAATGAAATTTAAATAATGTGCATTTTTGTTACATTAACCAGAATGGTGGTTTTGTTTTTTACTAGAAATGTCATTACCATAAAGTACAGTTATTTTACTAGAATTTTTATCATGTGTGCTAATATAACATTATTTTATTCAACAATTGTCATGTTTCGCACATTTTTTGCAAACAAAATTGTAGATCCTTTATAATATAAAATGAATAGAAGAACGATTTGTTTACTCTGCATACAAAAAATATACATTATAAAAATATACAGTGCAAAAAATATACATTTTTAACAAAACCAAGCGAAGAACAATTTATAATTTAATTTTTTCAGAATATTTATTTCAAAATATTGGCCAATGTTATTACCGAAATGGTTACCAAACATTTTATCGAAAAATATTTTATATCATGTTTATATAATATTATACTTATTTGATTTGAGTTTATATGCTTCTATTTAAGGTTTCATTGGTGTATTGTTTGATCAATAACTTATTTATTTTTTGATTTTTATTTTGTTGAATTAAAGAAGAAAAGAAAGTCGCATGCTATCCTTTAAATATATTGATTTATCGAAGCAATAATTTGGTCACGTTACATTTTAATTCTATTGCATCATTGTCTAGTTGCGTTTGGTGAAGCATTAGGGTGTTTTTAACGACATAAAATCAAAAATTACTAATAATTTTACTGTTATTTTATCTAGTTCATGCTAAAATGTAACATGATCAAAAAGAAAGTTCTACTGTATTGTTTTTGGAGTACAATCTTATTAACAAAAGAAGTATAGTAAGTAATTAAATAATGCCAATTCAAAATTTTATTATATTTTTACAATGCATGTACAGCCAATGGTAATAAATTTGTTATCATGTTATATTTTCATGTTTATTAATACCTATTAAACTTTTGCTTAAATATATATTTAAAAATGCGAGAAATAAAATTACGTCAAATATATTTAAAGCTGTGAAGAATCATATATGAAGAAAAAAGATTTACTAAAATTACCCTTCTGTATATTTTTACAATACGCGTACAGCCAATGGTAATAAATTTGTTATAATATTATATTTTCATGTTCATTAATACTTTCTAAACTGTTGCTTAAATATATATTTAAAAGTAGGAGAAATAAAATTGCGTCAAATATATTTAAAACTGTGAAGGATCATATATGAGGAAAAAAGATCTGGTAAAATTACTCTTCTGTATATTTTTACAATACACGTACAGCCAATGGTAATAACTTTGTTATAATGTTATATTTTCATGTTTATGAATACTTTTTAAACTGTTGCTTAAATATATATTTAAAAATGGGAGAAATGAAATTACGTCAAAAATATTTAAAACTGTGAAGAATCATATATGAAGAAAAAAGATCTGGTAAAATTACCCTTCTGTATGGTGTCGGTATATTTGGGGAAGAAAATTCATAATTCTTGTATAAAAATTCAAAATATGCGTTATTTAAACCATTCATCAGGTAAGTTTTCTGTTCACATGGTAACGGTTCGGGAGAAATTCCGGTTTTCAATATTTTCGTTCTCATTACCAGTCATTTAGTAAAATATACGAAACTAAAAATTCAATTTCAGCAAATAAATAGTTTTATGCCGTTCTCTGAATATCATGAAAATATTGCCAAATTTTATATCATCTGGAATATTTTATCATTTATTATAAAGCAAATTTTATTGTTTTTTTTTTTACCAGAAACATTATCAAAATGCTTCGATAAAAATTACTCGATTTTACTCGATTTCAATTCGATTTTACTTTGGAAAATGCGACAATGATTTCAACAAATATTCCAATTGAATTTAATTCACAGTAAATTTCTCAAAAATCATATTTACAATTTTGTAATTTAAAAAATATAACTGGTTTTTAATAAATAAATAAAAGTATAATTTTTTGATCTTCTGAAGTTGAGGAACATTATCACTTTGATATTTATTTGTATTAACAAATAGAATTTGAATTTATTACAACTTATTGTCTGTGGTTATAAAAGTAGATTTTTTATATGTTTAAAACAAAGGTGAATCACCAAAAGTCTGAGTATATGAAACAAAAATATATGAAATATAATTAAAACACATCCAGTAAATAACATTTTTTTTCAACATCATAAGCATTTTTAAGAACGATAATGAAATGAGTAATAATTTTAAGAAGTTGTTTCTAATATAAGTTTCTTCATATTTTTTATTGAATATTTAATGAAATTATGAACTGATTGCTAATATATTTTTAATTATACAGACAAAAAATACTTTTAGTAAAGTTTTTTACGGCATAATGGCTTATAGTGCAGTATTTAGTCAAAAAAAGGGGGGAAGTAAAAATTCTGGTATAATTACCGTATTTTAAGGTAATGACATTTCTGGAAAAAAAAAACAGATTATGTTTAATAGAACCAAAATATACGGTATCAAAATCATTCATTTGGTAATTTTCCGTTCGTATGGTAATGATAATTCTGATTATAGTTCATATTATTCGAAATTATAGTTCTTTTACCACACATTTAGTAAATATACAAAACTTAAATACAAATTTAACCAATGGTTCTTATACCATGCACTAAGGCAGGGGTCCCCAACCTTTTTGTTCCAAAGAGCAAATACCAGAATATCGGTCGAATGGCGGGCACCATTTATTTTTTCAAGGTAATTTTGATAGACATAGGTAATAATACACACTACATATAATGCACCAAAAATTTAATTGAAAAAATTAATTTAACATATGAATATACTTAGTATTAATATTCTTGTGTAAAATAAATGATTACTAAATTGCTTTCAAAACATGAGAAGTATAAAAATTATTTATAAAATACAGTCAATGTGGTCTTTTGTATGGCATTTCACTGGCCAGTGCTTCATAATTGGGAGAATATGATGAAATTCCTGCTCGCAAGCGATCGTCAAGGTGCTCATCTGTAAGTCGGGATTTATATTTTGATTTTATGCTATGCATTGTCAAAAACAATGATTCACACAAGTATGTGGAAAAAAGAAACGACTTTATTTTATGTGCTGCTCTTTTTTTAAGAATGGAATTTATTCCTTCAACTTTATTTCAGAATTTCTCATCTGATATAATAGTTTTGAGGATAATGTCATTCTGAAGATCCACAATTTCTATCTCCACTTCGTCTCGCTTTACTTGAAGAAATTCCGAAATGTACGTTGCTATTACGATTACATTTATTTGGTTTTTAAAAAGATCAACAAAAAATGTTATCAAAGGCTCGATGATATTAAATTGTTGAAAGCGCTTTTCAAATTGATCTTTAAGCAATTGGAGGTTGATGACAAATGTTGATAAGTCAATTTCACGATTACCTATCATTTTTTTCCATGTTTAGAAAATGCACAAGAGGCTTCATTTTTCAAATGTGATATCACAAAACTAGCTTTGCTCTGAACGAGTTTATAGCCTCTATCATTTTTGCTATATGTTTCTCCTTTCCCTGCAGCTCCAAGTTTAAATTATCTAGTTTTTCCATTATGCCCGTTATGGAAGACAAGTCTGCTAGCCAAAGAGGATCTAAGGCTTGGTTTCTTAGGACAGGACGCCGTCAGCTGGAAATCAGCGTTAACCTCTGATTGGTCCATTTGTGAGTTTGATAGTATACGTCATCGAACGCTCATCTTGAACTACAATTGCCGTCCAACTCAACTGCACTTGGATTACAACGTGACGTTAACCACAGAAACAATGGCGGACAACATCCAACAGCACATTGAAATCAGCCAAGATTTTGATTTTGACATTAAACATAGGTTCTTCATTAAACATAGCACTCTTCATTTAACTCAGCTATAATGTGTTTTTTCTTGGACAAAGTCATTATTTGTTCTCTAAAACACTGGTCGACAATAACAAAATCAATACAAATTCAAAATAAATATTTGTTTACGTTGACGTCCCGCTGACGCCCAGATAAGGCGCTTGTCCTAAGAAACCAGACCTTTAGTTCTAAAAATAAAATGTTTGATTTTTTGACTGCAAGATAATTTTTTATTTCTTCAATTAAATGTAGAAATCTATTAAGTACTTTGTCTTTACTGAGCCAGTGTACTTCAGTATGTATTTGCATAGCATAAAATTAGCAAAGCATTTAATGGGAAAATGGAAAACTGAAATATTTTATTGTTGGGCACAAGCAGCGGGCGCACCTAGACCGATCGACGGGCGCCTTGGTGCCCGCGGGCATAGGGTTGGGGACCCCTGCACTAAGGTATCTTGATAAAATTACTAAATTTTACCACGTTTTTTCCCAAAGAGCGGGATGATAAGACCATATTTTATTGTTAATTCCACCAAAATCTTTACCAAAGTGCTTCAATAAATTATACCGAGTTTTTTCGTCTTTCTATAGACCCAGGAAAATGATAAATATCATTTTCTGTTTGTTTTAGCCATGCATTTTTCACAGTGTCAAATTTTAAGCATATAAATATCGATCAATTTAGAGGTAAATCTTAGAATATAGAAAATAAGCAAAATATATTATACTCCAAAAATAGTATAGATATATTTTTTTTTTAAGTTTAATGTTATTTTTCTGAACATAGCATAAAAATAAAATGACAAAAAGTTAAGTTTCATTATTTTTTTATATTTGTTTTTTAACAAAGTATATTTTTTTTGTATTAATAAACTAAAAATTTATCATTTTACATTGACATTAGTATTTATCACTGATACAAATTTATTGCATTAATTTTATCACTCGATATAAATTTTAAAATAATTATAAATTTTTAAAATAAAGTTCATCATATGAAAGAAATTAAAGTTAAGTTTAGAAATATATAATTTAAGTTATCCATATTTTGTATAAAAAAAAATCAGCAGCACATTAACAAACATCTCATTGATTAATTTTTTCAGTACAAGTGACAACCAATCAATTCGAATCCATGATGTCGTCCCTTTAGATTATGATCATTTGACTCTTCCAAGAATAAATGGTAAATGTACTTTTTTTATTAATAATATTTTTTTCTTTCTTTAACATGTTGGCCAGCTCTATAAGTCAGTTTTATTTAAATGATTACTTGAAAAAAAATATATTTTCGTCAACCAATCTTTATTCTTCGAAATATTGAACTCCATCCATTACAAATAATGGTTCTAAAATTTATCATGAATTCGCATGGATTTTTTTTTTTAACAAAAATGCGACTTGCAACTCATAAACATGTTTTTCATTTTTACTTTTTTCATTGTAATCTGAAGCCTTTGAATCAAAATGTATAGCACCTGCAAGTGACGAAGTATGAGTATCTCGATCCTGATTGGTTGTAGAAACATGACATTTGCTTATGTTAGAAACTGTTCTTCCCATTGTATTTCGAGTAGGCCAAACCCAACAACTATCAATTCTCTTAAGAACACATTATATATTATTTCACGAAGATTCTTTCTCAAAGATTTCAATTCTTTATAAGCAAACTGGTTATGCATCGAAGTTGCCAGGTACACAAAAGAATATAACAAAGTTGGAATAAAATACATAAACAAAAAATAAATCTGAGTTAAGTGAAAGACGTAGACGTGAAAGAATTATATTTCAACAAATTTGATGTTCTATACGACCCTTTGTTTAGTTAACTTCACATTTATTAACATTCTAACTTATGAGGAGAAACTTAGCACAACATTAACCAGCCCTTTTGCTTATAAACGATCAGCTGCTGCTGACGTCATAGGTCACATTTGTGGGTATCTGTGATCTTCTTCTTGAAGTACAAGTGCTCATTTCCGAGTCAAAAGCATTTTCTTTTTAGTTTTCAGAAGATAGGTGATGAAAATTATATAATTTACTCATCGAGAATGTTTTTAAATGCAATTGAATTGCAAAGACATTTCTTTGCTTAAAATTTTACATTGTTTAAGATTTTAAGAGTGCTTTTTTTTTGATGTTATACAGTAGTATGTTTCAAAATATTTCAATACTTATCGAAATGCAACAAAATTTACTCAGGCAGTATTTTTTTTTGTAAATTATTTAGATCATATCATGGAATTTTTTATTAGATTGAAAAAAGAAATAGAGAAATCTCAGCTTTGGTTATAAGTGCTTTTATTCTAACACAAAAATTTTACGCTTCATTGATTTTGAGGATTATGTTCGGTCGATCATGAGATTACATGGTATTTTAACCGTATTAGGTGAAAGAAGTTAATAAACGGTTTTTTCTCAGTTAGCAGTTTGAATATCATCTTAATTATGATAATTTGACTATAGTATAAATGTAGATAATGCTGTTATTATTTAAATATTTAAACAAAAATACAGTACGATATTGATAAAGAGCTTTCCAAATTTTGGCAAAGATCACTGTGATGCCTGATAGGGCAGACGGAGCACCGAAAGAGGGAGAAACGAAGAAGAAAATCAATTACGTTTGCTAGTCCTAAATAGCTTTACCCTGTGAGAATTTTCGTTCAAAAATTACGGTGAAATAACCGGCAGCACTCTAACCGTCCAACCATGCAATTATTATAACCACACTGTTAGAAATTTCTCGGAAGAAATGGTTAAATAACAATTGATTGCATGGCTATTTTACCATATTTAATCAGCACAGTCAAATAACCTTAAATGAAATGGTAATCAAACTGATATTAAGTTTAAGAAAAACGGTTTATTAACTGCTTTCATCTAATACGGTTAACCTTCCGTTAGTCGCGCGCACCTCACAGGTGCATCCCTACTGCACTTCCACCTCCTTTGCCGTCAATAGATTTTTCCGGGGGTCGAGCCTAATGTTATCTTCCTAACTTTNGGAGTTCGAGTCCTAGTGTTGACACTACAATATTTTCTCCATTCCGTTCAACACATAAAGAATTCCTAGTGTCCGGCACTCTCCAATGAACCGTTTATTTACAAAAATCCGAGCTTCTACGTCTAGTTAAAAAATTATTACGTTTTTAAAAAGTGCTAGTTGTAAATGGTTAAAAAACCGTTTAGTTTTGTATTCATGGTTTTATAACGATACTTTTGTAAATGGTTATAGTACCATAAAGGAAAAAAATTTTCTTTTCCGTAAACTTTATGGTTAATCGGATGGACAGACAGCTGCCAATTACCGTAATTTTAGAAGGAAAATTTCAACAGTGCATAAATGGTTAAAACATTTTCGAATATATATATATATATANGTTACCGGATACAACTCATTTATAATCTATAACTGGTATAAACTGTTGACTATGACTTTTTTTTTTAAATATAGTTACTTTATTTAAAATAGCCTTACATTTCGATATTTTCCATAGATTACAAATTTCAATTGGACTAAAAAAACTTTTTTGAGAAGGAAATAAATAGCTAAAGTATTAATTAAACACATTACTACTATTGTTATGCATGTAATTAGAATCGATAAAGCTATCTGTTACTCACCGATATACACCGAAGAGCCATTACATTATGACCACCCTCCATCTATAACAATGAGCTCACCCCTGTTTTCATGATTTCTCGCCCAGGAACAATGTTTTCATGGAGCACATAAGGACCCATAATCCTCATAGAACAATCCCTGACGTCTGTAAGCTACTTGAACATAGTTCACCCATTCATGGCAACTGTTTTTCCCTGCGGGGGATGGTGTTTACCAACAGGATAATGCACCATGTCATGAGGGTCGAATCGTCATGGATTGGTTCGAGGAACATTCCAGTCACTTTCAAGTCATGTCTTGGCCTCCAAATTCCCCTGACCTTAATCCAATAGACCACTTGTGGTCCTACTTGGAAAACCAAATTCGTGCTGCCACGATACCCCCTCGCAATGTGAGGGAATTGCAGAACCAGTTAGTGAGCGCTTGGTACCAGATACCTCAGACTACCAATGAGCACCTTGTGGAATCAATGCTGGCGGGTGCAAGCAGTTTTGAGGGCTAAGGGTGGTCCTACATGTTATTAGCAGGGTGGTCATAATGAAATGGCTTTCGGTGTATGTATATGTATATATATATATATATATATATCCCTAGTGAAATTATTTCGAGTTGACTTGCGTTAGTTTTAATGAAGTTATTAAATTATATTTAAATTATATATAATTAAAATTTTAAATCTATTGTTTCTTAATTCAGATTGGAATTCAAGAGTCTCACTCAGCAGAACTTTCAGAAAATATTCCTTACAAACATTAGTGATGACATAATTTTAAAAAATTCTGCATGTAAAATCGATAACGTAATTCACTTTTCATTACCTAAAAATGTTATCGACATTTTTTGTTCGATTTTATTACTAAAATCTAATTTCCATAATGCACGCTAGACTGAAACTTTACTGTTTTTAAGCAATATAAAAACTTCTGTTAGTTTTAACTTCCTTAAAAATCATTGCGCGAAGGAGAAAAAAATGAAGTGATTTTATAGGTAACAAAAACTATATTTTTTTAATAAATGTAACACTACTTTTCATTTGAATATTAAAGATTTCTGTGACCTTCATACGACCTTAAGAGAATCTCCGACCAACTATGAGCTCTGGCTTTCATTTTGGCTAACTAATCAATATGCTCGCTACATTATATGAACTATTTTATAATATAGATTTTATTTCTGAAACTATTTTTAAAAATATTTTTGAATAATTTAATGCCTTTGAATCTTTGCTGTATAATTTTCATGAGCAATAATTCGCTTAAAACTTATAGGGAACATTCAAACATAATTTTTTTTAAAAAAACTGCTGCAAAAAAACTAGACAATATTGAAAAAATAATTGTCTCAGATTATTTGTGTTCATGTTAGATTACAGTAAAAAGATGATTTCTGCTTTTAAAACAATGCAGATTTTAACACTTTTCAAAATTAGTGATTGATTGCTAAACATATTTCTTATTTTACTATATATTTTTCGTCTACCTTGCAGTAATATTAATTTTGATGATAATAAATTATTTTTAATAATTTGAATAGGAAAACCTGTTGAGGTTTCCGTATCATTAAGAAATATAAACATAAGATCTGTAGATGAAAATGATATGGTAAGTAACATTTTACACATTTTTTTATTTTCCTTTTTTACCTCTTGAAATAACCTCTAAAATCTAGACTTCAACCGTACAGATGCAAGACATATTAAGAAAATATAAACTAAACTTACCGTCGTAATAAAGAATTTCTCAGTATATACATAGGCATATACATTTGTTTCAGCGTTTGTTAACGTAATATTTCAAAGTTTTAGAGGAAGCTTTTTCTAAATCTCGAATCCTTCACAAACCCCGTGGTTGCCTCTCATTTATTTGTGTCTTTCTTCTTAAAATTCTACTTTTTAAACAAAAAAAATATCATCAAGATTATAAGTGTAACAAACTGAATGTTTACTTAAATTTTAAAAATTATAAACTTTATTTATAAAAAAAATTTAGAAACCTGGAGTGTCTGATGAAATATGAAGTAAGAAAAAATAATTAAAAAAGTAATTTTACTTGTTTACAGTACATAACGATAACCTAATTTTTTATAAAACTCTTTTTACTTTTCTTCTTTTATAATATTAGAAATTTCAAATTAATTGTTGAAGTATATATCTTGTAACATCTAATTTCTTACACTTATTTTATTTCATTTTATTTAATCATTTTTTGTTACTCATGGCATAAAGCGAAGAGCGGGCTTACAAAAATAAAGATCTCGAGAGCGACAATTTTTCCTACAACTTCTTATATTCATTATTTATAAATAAAAAAAGTGGGAAATTGGCGAAAAAAGCATTTTAAAAATACAATAACTATAAAAAAATAGAAACTGTAGAAAAAAAATCTGTTAAGTTTTTAATGCAAATGGCTCTTTCAGCATATCAAATTTGAACTTTGTAGTTGTGTTCCCGTGACTTGCCAAGCTACCAACATTGCATTTTCACAACTTTAACACTTCAAAATTCTTGAACTCATATTTAATCCTTATTTTCTTCGGACTCGATGTACAATTTTTTTCTTAATTTCGTAATGACAAGTTTCTAATTTTTATAGTTTTTGCACAGCAAAACCAAATGTAAAACCAAAAGCATCCAAAATTTTAGTATAGAGAAATAAATCCCACTTAAAATTATTAGTAAAACCGCTTATCCCATTTTTCCACGTGTTTTCTTAATAACAATCATCAGGGTTTGCATCTGAGCCACTTAAAAGTGACTCATGACTGAATTTAAATTAATTTCTATGTTTCAGATTGATTTTTTTTAAAGAGCGTTATGATCACAGAGGTAGTCGTGTCGCGATCAAAAATCTCCCTATAGTCAGACTAACCACGTGAGGTTTTAATAGTTTTTTCTCTCCATACAATATATGTGGGCTGTTTTTGGCAAAAAAAAATATTTTTTATGAAGTCAAACTTACACAATACTTGTTTAAGGGGTACCCATGTCTTCTGAGTTGGGTTAAATTAAAAATATATACCGAGAAGTACATGGATAGTCACAAATGTGATAAAGTGATGTGGTAGTAAATAAAAATAAAGCTGATTATAAAATGTAGTATTATTCCTTGAATAGTTAAAAACAGAAAACTGCATGTTACGCTGAGTAAAACTATATAAAAATAAGTATAACCCTTATTCGGTCACAAAACACCATATTAATCCCAACTGGGATAGGATTTTACTCTAATGTTTGTCTCTCCCTCGTTCGAAAAACCACACTTTTTTGTGAAGTAAAATATTTTTTATTTATTTAAATACTAATTATATAGCTGTTTCTCAGAATGCATGTTTCATTATACTGTGGTGTATGTAGGATGTGCTTTTTTATTTCAAATAAAATGAGTGTTATAGTTATACAATATGTGCTAGTAAAAATTAAGAGAGTGAAGTCTTACTCTTTAACCTTTTATAGAATGAAAAATCCTTATTAAATTTTAAGATTTGGAAGTCTTGTGTGACACTAGTACCCAGAGCTGTAATTTTACCCTTCATGATCATATACCCAGTGTCAGGCTTCAAAGTTTTTTTATGGTTTCAGTCCAACGTCTGCTCTTTGTCATCATACGAAAAACATATTGTTTGTCATTACTGATCATTCAAGTTGATAGGTTTCGAAGATATACAATTTTAAGTAAACTTTAGAAATTGTCATTGATTTTTTATACATCAATATTATGCTTGTTCAACAATTTTTAGTTCTGACCAGGAGGAAAACTACGTGTAAACATTATACGAGATTCGATGGTTAAACAACACTTGGGAAAGACCCGAAAATGGATGGTAGAATCCATTTATTTCTAGCTTGTTTTTGTGGTGAATAAAATATCTGTGAGTATCACGTCATAACTTCAGTTATTTATGGGAGAAATCTTTAGTAGCAATGGTTTAAAAGCATTCATTACTACTAATCATCCTTCATTATTTACTTATTTTATGGGTATGGATATCTTACATGTATTATGATGATTAAGAAGCCTTGGTAGTCATGAATGTATTAGTTATATTGAATAGAAGCTGGAAGTGAAATAATTAGAATAGCAGTTTATTATCTTTTACTGTACTACCATTATCTTTTATCTCACTGTTATTTTTTTTACTGCATTATCTTTAACTGCATATCATAACAGCACTGCCAGAACCTATTATAAACAAATAAATACAAAAAATTGTGTTAGTCTTTTACAGTATCTCTGGAATTGTGGCAGAATTGGCAGGACTTGCGCCTAACATATCCAAAGGGGTCTAAAGAGAAATTCCAAATATTAGATTTTGAATGGAAGAAAAAAATTTGGTCGCCAAATTTATATTTTGTTAATTCAATCGACGGGAAGATCAACAACATTATAACTCCCAACAGTTTCTTTTGGCTTTCTGAAACAAAGAAGATATTTTTCACCTGCAGGTTTGCTTTATAATTCTTTTTCAGAAAGCTCTTAATGCTAATAACTAGAGCCCGGATTTTGATGACCTAAAAAATCTCAACTAATGCCCTTAAAAAGTGCAAAAAATGCCCTTAAAAAGGGCAAAAAATGCCCTTAAAAAAGCAAAGATTGCGCAAAAAATGCCTTAAATAAAGTAAAAATATTGAATTCAAAAAATGTTTTGCTCTTTAAAATTATTATGAGTCATTTAAAAGATATAAAGCAATGCAATACTTGTTCTACGCTCATTAAAGTTTGAAAAATATGTTTTATATCCTAAAATAACAAAAAAAAGGAAAATATATTGACACCAAAATATTTTTATTTTGTATAGAAACTTTAATGGATATAACAACTTCCATCTCATATTATTACTAAATATCAGAATTACATTGGATTACTAAATGTTTTTTGATAATTTGAAATGTAAACGAGCGTCTCTTGTCTGAAAGTAAATTTTCATTCCTGCAAAAGCTTCTTTCAACGTCTACTGATGTTATAGGTGCGTACTTGGAAAAGACGGTCTTTCTTACTGACAATTCTTCTTCAATTTGAAAAGATGTTGCTTCACCTGTTAATATCCTATAGATTTTCTTTATTGTTTGGAAGCCAGTGTAATAATGAAAATTGATAAAAAATAATAAAAATTGTAAAAAATTAACAGAAAAACTTTAAAAAATGCATTAAAATGCAAAATACGCCCCAAAATTTCAAGAAAAATGCCCTATAAATCTAAAAAAATGCTCTAAAAGACAAAAAATGTCCAAAAATGCAAAAAAATGCAAATGTCATCAAAATCCGGGCCTTACTAATAACACTTAACACCAAAAAAAAATTTCGAAGCCTTTCCCTTACGAAAATATAATGTGGAAAAAAAGGAATCACCATGAATAACTTTTGATCTAATAATCGAATCTTCATATACTAGGACACATACTTAATAATTCGATGGGGTGACCGCAGCAGAGATAGACTATGTTTTAAATTATGAAATCAGATAAGAAAATTTACTTTTTCTGGATAAACTTACCTTTTTTCGATGCATTTGAACATCTGACTTTCAAAGCATAAGGGGTAGCCGCAATCTGGGAAATTTGTCCCATCTGTTTGGTCAAGCGAGCATTCCTAGATTTGAAAACTTTAACGTTCATTTTACTTTTTTTCGTGTTTTGCCGTATCTCGAGAAGCTTTTAAACGATTCGAAAAAATTTTGCACACAATTATAACAATTCTTTTCTTAGAGTTGATGCCCTCAAAAAAATAATATTCAATAAATTACTTATTATTATTTATTTTAATGATAGTCGAAAAAAAATTGGAATGTAAGCTATAAAGTTTTCTTTTACATGAATGTCAAGTAAAAAACTATTTAATTCAAAAATTATATAATTTTTTATCCTGATGCCAGTTTTAGAAGAATTTGCTTCTCAAAAAGTTCAAAAAAATTAGGAAAGTGTTTCTTCAATATAAACGCAAGAAATATCGAATTTTTAACAGTATAAAACTATTTTTAAAAGCTTTTGAGACAAATATAGGCATTTTCAGAAATTATAACGATTGCATTTTATCATGAAACCAGTTGAACGAATCAATGTTTTTAATAAATTTAAAAATTTGCAAAATGTCTGTTTTATTGTTGCTTCTATTGTATAAACGTATTAAATGAACTTTGTTCTATTGTATAAATGCTGGAAATATCGCTTTTTTGAACTAAACAGAACTATTTAAAAATAATTCTTTCAGGATTTATTAACAAATATGGGCAGTTTCTGATTACATGATGCTTGTATTTTATCACGGTTTCCGTTTTTTTTTTTTATATTTCTATATCTGAACGTTGTGTGTTTCGAAAAAAAATAAAACAATTAGAACAATATTCATTAATTATTTTTAAACAAATGTGAGAATTTTTAGGATCATTTTTTGTGGACGCTATTATTCTAACATGAAACCAGTTTTTCAAAAACCGCACTTTTCAAAAAATTTAGAAAATTATGTAAAGTGTTCGTACTGTTTTATCGATAATATCTGCTCTGAAAATATTGTGTTTTGAACAAAATAAAACTATTTGAAAGTATGAAGTATTTATACGAAAGCATGGGTATATTCCGAGAATACAACGCCTATGTTTTATTATAGAACCAGTTTTTAAGGAATGGTATTTTTTTAAACATTTTAAAAATTCGCACATTTTTAGCTCTATTGTTTATTTAGTATGAAGGATCGTTGTATTTTTGAAAAATTAAAGCTATTTTAAAACTATTCTTCAATTATTTTTGGACTAATATGGGCTTTTTTAGAAGATATGACGCACATATTTCAACATAAAACCTGCTTTATAAGTATTGCTCTTTTCAAAAAATCTGAAACATTTCGCAAAAATCTATTTTTTTGATAACTCTATGCGTGCATTGGAAATCGCACGCTTCGGACAAAATAAAAATATTTTAACAATATTTTTTAAGTGTTTTTGGACAAGCATTGGACAGGCATATATATATATANACTATATATATATGTATATGGAACCAGTTTTAAAAGAATTGCGCTTTACAAGACATTTTTTAAAAAATCGCAAATTTTCCGTTCTATTATTTCTTAATACAAACACTTGAAATATCGATTTTTTTGACAAATTAAAACTATTTTAAAACTATTCTTTAAATATTTCTAGACAAATATTGATATTTTCAAAAAGTATGACGAGCATATTTTATCAGAAAACCAGTTTTAAGAGAATTCTCCTTTTCGAAAAATTCATAAAAAATCGATAAGTGTCTGTTCTATTGTTCCTTTAATATATATTTTTTTATTATATATTCTAAGCAGTTTCAATAAGGGGCTTACTTTTCATGAAATTTGCAGCAAAATAAAAGAAATGAACTCGATTGTTGTATGCTAATCGTTTGCAACTGAGGCACATTAACTGAAATATTTATGAGATTTTGAATATTATAAAATATTTATTATCGCTAAATGTCCGTTCTATTGTTCATTTAAAACTTATATTTTTATTATAAATTGTTCCTTTAATATATATGCAGGAAATATATTGTTCTGGACAAATAAAAGGTATTTTAAAACTCTTTTTTAACTATTTTTTTCAATATTTTTTTATATAAATTTATTGAAATTGAAAATGTTTTTTTATTAAACTAAGCAATAAAAACATTTTATCAGCAAAATTAAAACAGATAAAGCATTGAAGATTAACAAAAAAAGTGAATTGCTGTTTAAAGGATAAGGAAAAATAATTATGGTTTTCCACCTGATATCTGTTACTATTTGATTTTTGTGTTTATCGTGGATTATATTTTCCAGTTTTACATAGAAAATTTATGTTTAAGAACTTATAATGATAATTTATAATAATAATTATACTTCCATTAGTATAATAATAGTTATATAAATATATAAATAATTATATTAATTATATTAATTATATATTAATTATCTAATCATGTATATATATATATATGTATTAAGTAGTTATATGATAATAATTAGAAAATTTAAAATAATAATAGTTTTATAATTTTTTCAGAATTGTTGTGAAACTGATCTGTGAGATGGACCTGCATAATTTTCCACATGATGAGCAAACATGTGGTATAAGGATAGCCTCAGGTTTAATTTCATTTACCTCTTGTTTTATTTATTCCTCAGTCGAAAAAAAAATTTTTTTTTAATAAAGTTGCGTTATTTTTAAAAATGCAGCAAACTCATTTTTCTTTAAGAAATTTTTATTAAGCACAAAAATGCAAAGCAGCAATTTGACAATTGCTTCTTAGCAGCATTGCTGTCTAAATAAAGTCAAAGTGAAAACTAAAATGCATGTTTCAGTTTCATTTGCACATAACGTAAAAAAAAATAATGTATTATGCCCAAAACAATGCAACAAAAATCAAAAAAAGCGATCATAAAATTTTATTTTAGGAATTTTACTTCTTCTTCTTCTTAAATTTAAAGCTAAGGGTGCCATTTAAATAGTACATAAGCCATTTTGTACCAGTTAAATAGTACATGTTTTGACAAGTTACAAGTTAACCCCTTCCCATCTTCTCAGCAAAATAAGCAAAATACAAACCCTGTCCTATGCTTACATTTCAGGACAGTATTACTCTATCCACAACAACTGTAACACTAAACAACAATAAATAAACAACACATCCTAAACAGTAAATGATATTCATGCATAAAAATAAACAGGAGTAAAATCAATATATTGTATTTGTATTGCAAAATACACATTTTTGTTAACATAAAAATTATAATGCTTTTTTTTAAAAAATATGATTGTATTTATTTCTTACATTTCTAAATTTCCATTTTATCCATGTTGACTGGGTCAGATATAGTTCATACATTTCAAAAGGTCAATTTAAAGATTTACATAAATTCCTAAGGACTACATATTATTTTAATTTTTTTCTGGTGTATGTTTTCCTATGATGGGTACGAAAATGTTATAGATGGTATCCACTTTTGTACAATTTGTAGCACTAAAAATGAAATTTAAGTAAAAGATTTTGTATGGGATTGATAATTATCATAGCTACTATAAAATAAAATAAAAATTGATTTTAAAACATTTTGAAAAACATTTAGTTGATTTCTTTAAGTCCCTTTTAAGTAACAAGAGCATAATTACATTGGAATAAAATATGCTATTTATTCATTAAATTATTTTTTGTGATTCCCACCTTTAATTTTAAAATTAAAGACAACAATTTTTAATTCGAAATATGAGCCTCGTAAACTGATTGAATAATGGCTCTTTTAGCCATCTTTATTTCGAGTGGTGAGTGCTTATTGTAAATATAACTTTATTAAACGATTAATCAGGAGCGAATTTAATTTAAATGAGTATTTCTTTACACATTTCCTATTTAACCTAAAGGCATTTAGGCTGATTGTAATAAGCCTAAAACATATCAGGGAGATTATAAAACACTGAAAATTTTTCTAATTAGTCTGGCTCATTGCGAAATATCGGGGGAAACTTGAAGAATTCTGATTTAGGTTGACGCGCGGATTAAATTATCCAACAGCACATATTATGCCAATAGCATGAACTTTAAAAACGGAATGCTAAATTATATAAAGAAAAATCCCGCTAATCTCACCATTTTAACATAATTTAAAAAAAGTTTCATTTAACATAAAACCCGAATATTGCGTTTTCATTTGGTTTTTAAATTTCAAGTGAAATATTATGTAAGTTACATTCGATGCCAAAAACGGACTTTATCTTAAGAGCTCGTTGCTTTACTTAGAATGTCTTAAATTAGGACTGGTTTTATTTGAAAGTCAAAAAAATTTCTGCGTAAATGATTTGATGAAATAAATTTAAAGAGTTAGTATAATCATAAAATTTTCGAAGAATTATTGTTCTTTTTTTTATTTGTATACACTATGCGTTTTGTAATAAATATATAAGTAAATAATTTTAAAATTCAGGTAAATAATAAGTATATATAAAAAGTTTATGATAAATATATAAGTAAATAATTTTGAAAATAATTTGGTATCACATTTTTAATGCAATTCTGTTCTTTATTATCAGCGAGTTTCTCAATTACAAAAATTGTTCTAAAATGGACGACTAAAAATTACACAACTAGAGACTTCTACAGCTTACATCAATATGAGGTAACTGATGCTTTACGTGGAGAATGCATTGCCTCTGTGGGACCAAGTAAGCATATCATTTATAAGTAAGCATATTATAGGCACATAAGCATATCATAAGGATATCATAAGCATACCAAGTAAGCATATCATATGGTATATGATTCACTTTCTTCTGTAAAGAAATAAATTTAATTAATGTTAATTAATTTTTGAAAAAATAATTTTTAGCTCTAAAACAAATTAAAATTGTTATTAAGATTAATTATGATATGATAGAAACCAAAAACAATGACACGGGCTCTTTATCTTAAATCAATAGGCCTTACATTAAAGTTATCCAACAATAATTTAGTAAAATGGATTTCGTGGATGATTTACTAAAGAGTATGAACTTCTTAACTCCACTGAAAATCTCACAATGAACTGTTTATGTCGTTGTTTGATAAATTTATTTACCAAAAGCATCTATATTATTCAAGTCTGGAAATCCAGCAAGTAACTTCCTCCTTCGAATATATTCAAGGTATTTCAACCAGACCAACCCTGTATAAAAGCGCATTGTCATTTTTTTGTTTGTTATTCTGTCATCATTAGTTTGTCGCTTTTGCTTTATGGTCAATAAAATTGAACTGGAGACTGAAACCACCCTTTTACAGTCTTACACATGGCTTTAAGACCTCTAGACTATACTTTAGAGAAGATGGTTCCTTATTAAACAAAGACCTCAGCCCTGCACCCAACATCACACTGGACGAACCAACTTTCATAGTGGATCACTGCCATGAAGTTAGATAGAAAGGGGTATTGTGTTCCCTGTTCTCAGCATGCATGAGTGCGTCATATACCATGGTTCAAACTGAATCTAGACTCCCCATTGGAAGAAATGTAGATCCACTACAGTTTTGGCCAAGATTGGTGATGCTTGCATCAGCTCAAATGGGATTTTTCTGAGTCCCTTAGCGAGATAAATGCATAACGTTAGTCTGAAAAAGACTTAACCCATAACTTCATCGATAAACAGAGCGTAGATACTGATCGGGGGAAAACTCTCACCTCCATATTTTACCCAGCAACTGTAACCAAATAGGAGCCATCTTGCCCTTTGGGGTTTTCGGGCAGCCTGTTACTGCTCTTTTAGAACTGCTCCCATAATTTGGAAATTACATTTCGAGAGACATTTAAAGAAGAAATGTCTAAAATGAAGAAGAGTTTTTTTTAATCCCAAAACCTTATAAACAATCATGTAAACAGCATGATAGTTTATTGCGAGGCCTGCCTTGCCATCAGGGATTACGACGCATTGTCCAACAAGGAGGGTTAAACTCCACATAAATTCCTCAAGTACTACTTTGCTACTTCACATTTTAGACTATCTAGCTATGGTGCCTATTAAGATATGGTCTTGAAATTGCATTTATTTAGCAGATTTTTTTTATTATATTGTGATGTATCTAAAAATAATTTACACTCGGTTTAGTTCGCTGCTTTTTCAGTTCTCAATGAAAATGTGCCTTTCCCTTCTCTTTCAGATATGAGTGTACTATTTATATATTTAATATTCTTGTAGATTTTCTCCTTTTTTATTTTCATATGCTTTAAATATGCATATTTATTATATAATATACATAGTTGAAGTATTCATACCTACATATAGTTTTATTACATTATTTTACACTGAAAAGATATGGTTGTATTTATGACAAAATAAAGCAAAGTAAACGGGCATAATCTGATCCAACAATCAGGAAATAGTGTATTATTTATTATAATTTTTTTACGATAGTTAATAAAAGTATTAAAGAGTATTTTTGATTTTTAATTCTATTGATAAGGGATTAATGTTCAGTTTAATGTTAAGTTTATGTAACAAATTGTAGATTATTCTAGTAATTAATCCCATTTCTTAAGGAACATAAGGTATAAAAAAGTTATAGTTATAGTAAAGAAATTTTTAATTACAATTATCTTATTTTGATTAATAACATCTACGAAAAATGTGAATAACACGATACAAATGAATTAATATAAATAACATGATATGAAAAATAATAGAAAAAGGAACAATGACTCCACTCCTCTATAAGTTGATCACTTGTTTAAACTGACAACTGAAGTGACTCACAGCATGCGGTCAACTTACATAGGTTACCCTTTATCAACTTTTTAACATTATGGTTACTATGCGATTTCTGTCCTCAGTTGGAAAAACCTTCAATTGCGTATTAGAGTGTCAGAGGTAATTTCAATAATAATGCAACCAATGAATTGCAAGAATTTGGGATTTAAATTAAAAATGTATAAATATTTATCTAAGATTTATTTGAATATAGTCGATAAAAATTGTCCAGCACTAATGCATCTTGCTTCAAAAGTAGTGTGTACAGTACAGTGACTCAGGAGAGAAGCTTATCTTTGACTCAGCAAACTACAAATTAAGTCATTAGTATCTTAGTCATCGGGTTCATTTATTTTAGTTTTCTGGAAGACATTTTGTCACCTATTTACTTTATCAAGAATTTAAAAAAAAATCAATTAACCGCAATTGATGATTATTATCGTTTTACAAGAAGTCTTCCATATGGTTTAATAGTTTATTTTCAAAAAATATTTTAAAAGAACTCAATCCCTGATTAACTCTTTGACACATATGGGACACCGGTGTCTTTTTTATACATTTTTTTCTAATGATCTAATTACAGACAAAATTAGTTTGGTTTGTCTTCAATTATAAGAAAACAGTCCAATAGTTACTAAAAGAATCTCTTTGATCATTGGAATTATATTTCTACAAAAAAAAAGTAATAATGAAATTCAGAAAAATTGAATTAAAGAAAATTTTCATTCATAGCCAAAACTTTATTAATTGTATATTATAGAAATAATTTATAAGTAAAAAAACATTTCCTCGAGGAATTGGGAAAACATTTCACCGAGAAGGATTTTTCATAAAGCTAAAACACTGCAAATAAATGCATATTTGCAAAATTATTGTTTAGAAGTGAGCCATGTTTGAAAACAGTCCAATAGTTACTAAAAGAATCTCTTTGATCATTGGAATTATATTTCTACAAAAAAAAGTAATAATGAAATTCAGAAAAATTGAATTAAAGAAAATTTTCATTCATAGCCAAAACTTTATTAATTGTATATTATAGAAATAATTTATAAGTAAAAAAAACAAACCTTTAACGCAGAAACTTTAACGTAGTCAAAGGCATCAGTGTTTCATGCTGCATTTTATAACCATAAACTTTTAAATTGTTAAACGTAATATTTTTTCCTTATTTTGACTTAAATTAGTACAAATAAGGAAAAGAACAAGTATGAAAAAATGTAAAGTAATAATTTTGCGTCAAAGGTCTAACCTGTTTTGAGAACATTTCCTTATGAAACATTAACTAAATTTTAACTTACTTTAAAGGAGAAAAATTTTCTTACAGATAACGCATCCTGCTTAGAAGGAAGTGTTGTATTAAGAAGAAGAAATGGCTTTTATGTCATAAATGTTTACATCCCTACAATACTGATTGTTATCATGTCCATGCTGACATTTTGGATTCCCCCAGAAGCTGTCCCAGCACGGGTGACACTAGGAGTCACAAGTCTCCTTACAATCATTACTAAGCAATATCAGGCGTCCATGCCAAATGTGTCATACATTGTTGCATTGAACGTTTGGTTATCTTCTTGCATCGCTTTCGTTTTCTTCAGTCTTCTAGAATATGCAACTGCAATCGCTCTTATGACAAAATCGAAAAATTCGAGTACTTTCTCTACTGACGACGATTCAGAGTTGATTTTAGGAATGGTATGTATAGTTTTATTTACTTTATTACACTTAATCAAATCGTAATTAAAAATATCTCTTCATTTGTAAGTTATTCTATTTCGGTGACCTGTTTCAATATAGACTGATATGTTATGTATCATCCCATTTCACCATGCATAAAAATATTAAAGAAACAAAATATGACCCGGTATGGAAAAAGTTCATGCTATCTAAAATCTTTAACTAACCTCAGCATCCTTGAAAGATGCTGAGGTTATATAAACATCTTAGTAACATCTAGGAAGTCATTAGTAGCATTAAACATTAATAGTGACATTACACTAAGTTACATTAGTAATATTATTAATAGTGGTAGTCGCAATAATAGTAACATAACACTTAGTAACATTATTATTACTGTTATAGTAGTAGTAACTTTACACTTAAATTAACACTTAGTAACATTAAGTAACATTTAGGAATTATAAGTAGAAAAAAATAGTGTATTTTAACATAATTATATTTTTAAATCGTTTTATCTTGTTAGCTACTTCGGGCTCAAACAAAAAATCAACACAATTGAAGAAAACCAAATTTTACGGCACACCTAAAATAAAATTCAATTAAATTGGTGAATCAAAAGTCAACTTCCAATTTATGTAATTTGCATCTTTATTAGTTATGAATTTAATTATTTGCTTTGTGCAACTTCTACAACTCAACTTACTAGACTGAAATTGAAATTCATGCATCTCTTGCATCTCTGAGTTGAGACATGATACTTACCGTGGTGCACTGTGTTACATAGACACCATATTTGAACTGAAATAGTAATAATAATACGTACGTAAACAGTGAGGAAATAGTAATTATAATAAGTAGTAAGTAAAATAGTAATATCACACTAAGATAGTAATAGAAAAGATCACAAATATTTAAAAATCACATTTGATTATGTAAAAAAATTAAAAGAGAAATTAACATTTATTTAAATACTTTATTAACTTGAAACATATGAGTTTAAATATTTTATTTCGCATAACTGTGCTTAGTGTTAACAAATACTGAGCTTCTGTTTAGCATTCAGTAAGCTTGATAACATGAATATTCGCTGTTAGCAATAACCCGAGAAGCAGTTAAACATGATTTCCATCGTAGTAGACGGTAAAAAGAACACCAGAAAAGAGCACTGGCAAAAAAAGAATGGAAAAAGCACCGGAAATATATATCTTTACATATAATAAAATAAGGAATGTAAAACACTAAGATTTTAAACTCTTTTTAATGCGAGATGTGAAAGTAATTAAATATAATTAATTCAGTTTTATCTGATTTTATTCTATACATGTGCTAATCTCTCTAAGATGTTTGATTTGTTCTTCAAGAATATACCTTCTCTTAATCAACACTTAAAATCTTTAATATCTTTCTGTCTTACAGATTCTCTTAAAATCTAATGGTACCTGGTCAAGAGCCAAATCGTCTTTTAATTTAGTTACAGAGAAGAAAACTCGATTGACTCCTCAGAAACTTGATTATATTTCTAGATTTCTATTTCCCTTACTTTTCACAGTATTTAGTATTTCTTACTGGTATTATTATGGAATTTAGTTGGAAAAAAATAAATATATTTTCTACTTTTATGTATATTTTTTCTTCAAATATTTGAGAGGTATTCGTCAGTATTCTTACAAAGTTTTCGAATTCATTCATTTTATTTATTTCATTTAAAAAATGGATTTTTTCTTTAAATTTTATCATTTTTATGCTTCTTATTTAATTTATTTCATTTTTATTGCTTCTTTTATTATTTAAAATAAATATATGAATCTTCGGTTAAGCAAATTTGCGACCACTGCCAACTTTTACATTTCTTTTTGCTTGTGAGAAAGAATATTTGCCAAAATATGCCGCTTAAACGAATCCCTCTTAGTCGATCATCATCTCAAGCGCGCAAAAAAAGAACTACCCTGGTTTCAGAAGCATCGGAGCAACGGGAAAGAAGACTGCTAACAAATCAACTACGCACTACTCAAGCCAGTTTGTCGGAAACATCAGAGATAAGGAAAACAAGAATGAAAACCGATCGAGAAGGCACTTCGCTACTCAGAAGCTACCAATACTATGATTTGAATCTTAGTGCATTTCACTATGATCCGACAAACAACTATAGTCTTCACCGAAGTGTCGTCATCGGGAAAATGGATCAATTATGTATGTTCTGTAGTGCTCTCAAATTTAAGAATGAAACAGCCGGAATTTGCTCTTCTTTAGGAAAAGTGGAAATACCAGATTTAACGTCGCCAGCCGAGCCATTATCAACGTTCTTTTCAGGTCAAACAAACCAATCGAAAAAATTTTTGGAGAATATACGCCGGTACAATTCGTATTTCCAAATGACTTCATTCTGTGCTACACGTATCCTGAACGAGAATTACATGCCAACATTCAAAGTGCAAGGACAAATTTATCATCGTGCAGGATAACTTCTACCATTGCCTGGCACAGATCATAAATTTCTACAGATTTATTTCATGGGTAACACGAATGATCAAGTCAATCAACGTTATCAGTTAAACAATGGCACTAAACGAGTAATTCTTGCTGCATTACAAACATTTTTCTATCAACATAATCAGTTAATTAGGCTGTTCAGAACTGCCCTTGACAAAATGCTATCCGATAATTACAAAATTGTTATTAGAACTGTTATTGAACACCTGCAGGCCCCCACAAAGGAAAATACAATGCACCAACATTGGATGAGGTGGTTATTGTTATAGTTGGCGAAGAATTTTCCTCCCACGATATAATTCTTCACCGCAGAAATGGTAACTTTCACAGAGTCTCTGAAACGCATCGGTCCTATGATGCATTGCAATATCCTATTTTATTTTGGCAAGGAGAGGATGGATACCATTTTAACATAAAATTGAGAAATCCACAAACAACCGAGAAAACCAATAAGAAAGCAAGTGCAATGAATTATTATGCATAAAGATTAATGATTCTCCATAACGCTTAAAATCATATTTTAAAATGTCGACAATTATTTCATCAATACATTGTCGATATGTATGAGAAAATTGAAACCAAACGCCTACTGTATATTAAATTTAATCAAACCAAATTACGTTCAAAAGAATACATTCATTTACGGGATGCAATAATTTATAATGGTAACGTTAATCCTAATGATGTGGGGAAAATGATTATTCAAGGCACATGTATGAATACTCACAGGATGCAATGACATATGTTCGCGCATATGGGCGCCCAGATTTATTTATTACATTTACATGCAATCCTGCTTGGGTTGAAATTAAAGAGCTTTTGTTACCAGGACAATCATCATCGAATCGTCATGATATTACCGCACGTGTGTTCAAACAAAAATTAAAATCTTTACTTGATCTCATTGTGAAGCTTCATGAATTTGGAGAGACACTGTGTGGGATGTATTCTATCTAATGAATCTATTCTAATGAATTCTTTTCATTCGGTGCTACAAGTAGCGGTGCGCATATGGGCAGCCAGATTTATTTATTACATTCACATGCAATTCTGCTTGGGCTGAAAGTAAAGAGCTTTTGTGACCTAGGCAAACATCATCGGATCTTCAATATATTACCGCTCGTGAATTGAAACAAAAATTAAGCTCTATACTTGATTTCATTGTGAAGCGTCATGTTTTTGGAGAGACACGGTGTTTGATGTATTCTATTGAATGGCAAAAAAGAGGATTGCCACATTATTTGGTTTTTAAAAAAATCACGCCATGCCAAATTGGTCAGCTCATATCAGCAGAAATATCTGATGTCGCCATTGACCCAGACTTATTTCAGATTATCATCCAAATTATGTTTCATGCTCCGTGTGCATCACCATACATGTCTGTTTGAAAATGCACTAACGATATCCTAGAGAATTAACTGCTGAGACTATCACTAGTATTTTAAACATTAAATAAAATTCTCATTTCAAATCTCAATCGCAAATCTCATTTACACACTTAAATACAAAATTACAATTTAAACTGAAAGCGTTTCAACGCACGCAGGGTACAGCTAATATATTTATAAATCATTTTTTAATTGCTGCCGTTGAAGAAATCAATTAAGGCACAGTTTATTAACTTTAAAATATTTTTTTGTAAAAAAAATCTATATTTATTATTATTAATTATTAAAAAGCAAGATAAATAATAATTATAAAATTTGAAAAAAATATTGGAATTTCGAAAAATGCTGTATAATATAGTGGAATAATAATAATATGTAGGGGAAGTCTTGGTTTATTTGTATTTCTACCAATTCACATAAATAATGAAAGGCCAGAAATAATCTAACTCTAAATATTTATTGAAAAGGACAAAACACATAAAAATAAAACAAGGATAAAAAATACAAGAATTTGGAAGAGGGGGTTTTGGGCGCGGATTAAACGTCCGTACTTAACGGCGGATCCTGGCAGACTGTCTTAGTTCACCGCCAGAGGCGCTGTAGTGGGGGGAAAGAGGAGAGCTTGTTACACTCCCCCTCTGGTTCCGATTAAACGTCACGTTGAGGGACCAGCACTTCTTCGTGTTTGGCTTCTTCTGAGGGTCATCAAGGTTTTTGGGTCAGGATCAAGAGTTTTTGGTCTGCCTCGTTTACGTAGAGGTGCCACCGGCACTGCATTTTCATTAGAACATTTTTTCAATGCAGATACATGATACTGTCGTAACGGTTCATTTGGCTTATCAACGTGGGCCACTTCATACGATGTTGGGGACCTTTGGGTGAGGATGATGTACGGTCCATCTCTCTTTGGCATGAACTTGGCCGACTTTGATTTTGCAGCATTGCTCTTAGGATGCAATGTAACCCATACTTTATCACCAGGTGCGTACTGTGGTGATTTTTGACGCCTTTGATCTGCGTAGGTCTTTCTCTGATCTTGTTTGGATTCAACTCTATCTCGGATGTCATTAGAGATATTCGCTAATCTTTTTAGATAGGGAGTGATCTCGGGCACGAAATTATCGTTGTTGACGATGGCACGAAAATCACTCGTAACGTCATCTATGGTTCTCATTTCTCGTCCAAACATGAGAAATGATGCTGTTTCGCCAGTTGTTTCACACTTTGCACTGTTCATGGCGAATCTAATCATAGGAAGTTTTTCAGCCCAGGAAGTGTGATCTTGTCCCACAAGGATTGCAAGACGTGGCTTCAGGTCACGATTTTTGCGCTCTACAGGATTCGCCTGTGGGTGATATACTGGTGTGAGGTTCTGATCTATTTTCAAAAGGAAACACAATTGCTGCATGACAGCAGAGACGAACTGAGTTCCGTTATCACTTATTATTCTTCGAGGAATCCCATAGCGAAGAAAGATCTCTTCCACAAGAACAGTGGCGCATTCTTTAGCAGTGGCTGTAGTGAGAGAAAATAATTCTACCCACTTAGTTGAACAATCTTCCACTATAAAAACCCAGGATTTACCCTCTTTAGTTGTGGGTAAAGGTCCAAAGAGATCTATTGCCAAGGTTTCAAATCGTTGGCTGTATATTGGTGTCTGCAGAAGTCCACAAGGTTTTTGATTACTGGCTTTGTATCTGGCGCATTCAACACAGCTCTTAACATAGTCAGCTATGAAGGATCTCATACCAGTCCAATAGTATCGTTGATTTATTCTATTTAATGTTCCCTCTACTCCGTAATGTCCAGCACTTGGAGCGTCATGGTGTAATTTTAAAATTTGCGCTCTTTCATGCAAGGGTACTACCAACTGTGCTTCTTCAGCATCTGAAGCAGGAGAATATCGGAATAATACGCCTTGATTCATTATATATCCTCTTTGTGTCCAATTGGAATAGTCTACTCCTTTTTCTGGATCTTCAAAACATGTAATTATTTTCTTAAGCTCTTCATCTTTCATTTGCTCCTCTCTTATTTCTTTAGGTGCTTTCTTAGGGAAGTCTACGGAAATAGTGGAAGCATTGCAGAATACTTCATCAGTTTGACATATGGGTCTTGAAAGCATGTCTGTCACATAGTTCGATTTCCCGGGGAGGTATTCTATCCTAAGATTGAACTCTTGCAGCTGCAGGGCCCATCTCGCCAGTCTTCCAGATGGAGATCTTAAACTCATGAGCCACTTGAGAGGTTGATGATCGGACGAAATGATGACTTCGGTACCTTCCACGTATCCTCGAAATTTTTGAAGTGCCCAAATGACAGCAAGGGCCTCACGCTCTGTTGTCGAGTAATTCCGTTCCGCAGAACTCAGCAATCTGCTTGCGTATTCAACAAGATGTTCTTGAGTTCCGTGTTTTTGAAAAAGGACGGCACCCAAAGCGTAGTTACTAGCATCTGCCCGTATGAGGAATGGTTTAGTTTCATCCGCTTGCTTTAGAATTGGAGGAGAAATCAAGCTTTGTTTAAGTTCTTCAAATGCTTTTTGCTGTTCAACACCCCATTCCCAAGATGCATTTTTCTTTGTCAAATTGGTAAGTGGTCTGGCAATTTCGGAAAAACTAGGAATAAATTTTCGATACCATGAACATGTTTGTATAAACGACTGAACTTGTTTCACGTTTCTTGGAGAAGGCATGGAGGTGATGGCATTTACTTTATCTGGATCTGTTTCAATTCCCTCA